CCTGCCTTAGGCACAAAAGGTAACTGGGAGACTTTGGGCCAATCACCAGGAGACAGGGAGTTCTAGTCCCGTCTTAGCCATGAGAGCCGGCTGGGAGATTTTGGGCCAATCTTTTTCTCTCAGCCCCGCTGAACTCATATGATTGTTGTCATGCAGAAAATAAGAGGCGGAAGGGGTATCGTGTGTGTTTGCTGTCTTGAGTTATTGATGAAAATAATAAAGATGGGATAATTAAATAAATATAATTAATTAATTTAGATTATAAATACGTAATAGAGTAACAGAGTCGGGAGGGACTTTGGAGGTCTTCTAGTCCACCCCCACAACTCCCCGGGCCAAGCAGATGATCCTGTACCATTTCAGATGAACAATTGTCCAATCTCATTCTGAAAAGCCTCCGTCCTTGTGAGTGATGAAACACCCACAATTTCTGGAGGCCAGTTCGCAAACGAATCCGTAAAGGTTTTTAATAAATAACTGAAGAATAAAGGAACGACGATTGCAAGTAAATAATCGATGAATAAACAGATCAAGGTTACAAAGAAATAATTCATGAATAAATAAAGGTTGTAAGCAAGTAATTTAGGAGTAAATAAAGATTGTACACATGCTGCTTATATGTAAATAAATAAAGATTATAAATAAATGGATGGATGGATGGATGGAATTCAGACCTATCTGTGTTCTCCTTCTCACCCGGGTCGCCACTCACCTTTTGTGTGGTTTCAAGGGTGAGGAATTTGGCACACTCGGTGTAGTTCGCCCAGGTGCGATTTTGGTTGGGCACCAATGCCCAGCTGCCATTTAAGTCACACTGCCGGTGGGCAAAACCTGGCGGAAAGGCAGAGACAACATGAAACAGGGAAGAAATTGTCTTTGGTTATCTCTTAGTAGCCCCAAAGTTGTGCCTTGGTTGGACCCACACAAAGCGGGCAAGCATAGGAGTGTCAGTGGATTGGGAGGTGGTTGAAGAGCCTGTTTGAGGTCTATAAACCACGATGTTTATAGGCCTCAATCTCTCAATGTAGAGATTGATAAGAGAAGCTTCTGTTTTTCCAGTTTAGAATTTCTTCCAGGTTTCTCTGGAGAATTATTTCGGCTGATTTTAAGGGTTTTGGAAGCGTGGCTGGACGGATTTCCCCAGGCAGCTTGGGGAATTCTGGGAATTAAAGTCCAGGCCTCTTGGCGGAGACCGAGAAACATTGGCACTACAGGTTGTCCTGTGGAACACCTTGCCACTTTAAGTTTAGAGAACGGGGATTCTGGATTGGAGGACCTGTGTTATGCCTCTGATCCTGGGACTGAATTTCATTGAATTTAAAGCAAATTATCCTTCTTCGCGTTGAAAGGTTTTTGAGACATTTTCTGCAAAGGATTGAAAGGGGAGACAGCCAGGATCGGCATGGAAACGTTAACAATATGAACTGCTCTCTGCAGCAGCTTCTCCATTATTCATCTGCCAAATGTTGAGCCTCCCACAACCCCTAGATTGTAACCTTATTTTTCCAACACCTTTTGCTGATGCGGGTGTGAGGCATGTGTCATTTAGATAAAGAGAGAGTTGGGGGGGGGATGATAGATAAATGGATAGATTGATAGATTGATAGTTAACAGGGTAGATGATAGACAGGTGATAGATACAGACAGACAGGCAGACAGTCAGGTAGATAGTAAGAGAGAAAAGATTATAGGTAAATAGATAAATAGAATGATAGATTAACAGCTAACAGGGTTAATAGATGATAAATGAGATAGATAGATAGATAGATAGATAGATAGATAGATAGATAGATAGATAGATAGATAGATAGATAGATAGATAGATAGGCAGATAGGCAGATAGGCAGATAGATAGATAGATAGATAGATAGGCAGGTAGATAGATAGATAGGCAGATAGATAGATAGATAGATAGATAGATAGATAGATAGATAGATAGATAGATAGATAGATAGATAGATAATAGGTAGATAGTAGATAGATAGATAATAGGTAGATAGTAGATAGATAGATAGATAGATAGATAGATAGATAGATAGATAGATAGATAG